AGGTCGACGGGAGGAGGTATCCTCGAATCGAAACGGTGAAATGTGTCGAGAACTGAAACGTTCGAGGCTGTTGGACAATGCGAGGCCTCTTTAGCTGCAACTTCATGAAATATTTGACAGTTGGAACACTTCTACGTAATGAACCTGTAAGGCATATTTTTAGATAGTGTATGTTTCAAAAATATAAGATAAAACATCGGTTCATCTATTAAACAGTGAGTTAGCTAGATTAACTTTATTAGAGAGTTTACGAGCAACCCTAGACTAAATTCCAACTTTTTTATATGACGCCTATTAGTTATCTTCCCAGTGGACGCGTATGCGTAAATTTTACGAGAAAGTCGTTTATTCAACATTTTTCTTCTGAAAAAAGGCAGTCGACGTTTTACTTTATTTCTGGAACAAGATTTCCCCCGTAAAACAAGCCGGATTAGTCGGTTAAATAGCTCCATCAACAGTCGTTGCGAGCTTACCACGGCCCCGTTGGACCGTATGCAAATTCCAACGCCCAAATGAATACAGTAAGACCAGTTTCCCTAAATGAAAATTCAAGTTACAGCTGGACTACTAACTATCGTACATCTATTTTTACTGAATATTTACTACCGTGGAAAATGATCGTAGAAAGAAAACGCGAGAGGAGTCGTACCAGAATTCCTACCCTTAAAGTCGGGGGCACACGAGCTTCGAAACGACGTGCGTTTCTATGTTCTTCCTTGTTTTGAAGACTGACAAGATCGGCGTACCTATGTCTTTTCGATTGTAAAACAAGGAAGGCCATAAAAACGGACGTCATTTCGCTCGTGTGTCTTCGGCCTAAATCGATCGTGTGAAATGTGACTGGCGCCACCTCGTCGGCAGACGATCCGATAACGCCAAACGCGATTTTCTCACGCAAGTTCGTTAATCTTGGACGTTAGAAATTATGTCTAGCCCCTAGTTACCGCATAGCGAGAACTTTCTTGCGCGATCGTGTGTTGCACGCCTTGCTACGGGCGATCTCGTTAGAAGTGCATCATCGAGATACCGTCGCGCGTGTCTGGCATAGTTGCCCGGTGTTTTCGCGCTATCGCGAATTTGCATTTCTGCGTGTAATTGCGAGCCAGGTGGTTACACTTCGAATATCGCGGCACGTAAATCGCACCGGTCGTTTCGGGCAATTCCCCCCCTGCGCGCGCATCGTTCGGGGATGCTATCGCCACTTCCGGAGAAACACCAGGAATCGTCAGACACCAATTTCAACTAAATTTTGCTCGAACGTTTATTGGCCCCACCTGGGAACTATGCTGTATTTTGTTACTGCTGCTTTTTGATTTTAACTGGGGGTTGCAAGCGATCGATACGTTGCAAATTAAATTTCGTGTAAAAGAATTGTAAGATCAACCTGTAAATGTGAAGTTGACGAGTAAATGTCTCGTAGGAACTTTGAAGGGAAAGGTAATATTAGAGTATATGATTTAGAAAAAAAAAAACGTAATATCTGCAATTTCTCTACGTTGTTCAAGTGTCTGAAGAGCGAATTGAAGAACGCGAATAATCGTGATTATGTCTTGAAATGTCGGTGTCTAACAGTTCGCGACGTCTCCTTGTTAGCGACGTCGTAGTCGAAGAACACCTTGAATCGACTGCGATTAAACTTCGTTTCCCAGTATACGCGTGTAATTTGCATGTAGTTGCCGGTGACTGTACGAAGTAAGAGACGATTAAGCTTAGAGTACTCTAGTGAAGTTTGGTACCCATTCGACGAATATTGCTTTAAAATTAACGAATGCATGACTGGCGGTGCTCGAGCTTGTACTTTTCAAAAAATTCACTGCTTTGTAAAATTTATATACGTGTATAGCATCAAAAGAATTTCTAACGAACGTTAAGGCGAGAGAACCTTATCGAGGGGACGAATAAAGTAGAACTACGTTGAGACGTATGCAAAATAGCTACCTGCGAAGCGCACGTCATAAAAGTATGTAAATATATGCGCGAGAGCAGGTGTTCAAAGCAACGACGGTAAAGAGAACTAATGTCGGGATGGAGTCAAAAGTATATAATTTTCATATTTTTTACGTTTTAATTTTAATTCCTGAAAGTTTCGTGTTAAAATATGTGTTACGAGAGACCAAAGTGTCTGGAAACGGACATGTCACGACAAAGTAATCTATTCTTATTATACAAATGCTCTGCAATGTAAGAAAACCGCATTTTCGCAGTGGGAATCCCTCATAAAGGTTCCTGTCTCCTTTTGACAGATGCACGACTCTTTCTTCAGCCGTTCGGGTAATTACCCGTAAAATCATCATTTTTAATATTCCCTCTCGCGCGTTGCACACCGTTTCAGTAAGATTAAAAAGCCAACCCGAGAGAAGCTGCGATGTACATTCTTACACGGGGTGGTCCAATAACTTTGTTCGCCCGAATACCCCTTTGCCGCTTGAAATAGTAGGAGGAATGGATTCTCGCGAAAGTTGTATGCCTTTGAGGCAAAAATTTCAAGGAAAAGTTAGATTGTTTCGCGGTTTCGTTCAAGTTACATTCGGACTTGCGACGCGCGATTCAACGGTATTGTTCCCGCTAGAACCGGATGTTGACACAGGGATCGAGAGTTTTCAAGTTAGGGGCTCTATAAAATCGCTGACAGGCAACCACACTCGACCCTCTACTTTGAGAGAATCCCTTCTTAAAATAAATTGTGGGTAAGGGTGGTCCACTTTGCATTTTTGGTTGGTCAGTAACACGATTCGGCTCGACTTTGTCATGTAAATCAGTATGAGATTTTTAACTCGAAGACCATTAAATCATTAAGTCACTACTTCAACGCAAAATACACCTTCACGGTATCGTAGTTTGCCAGTGCTCTATTGTGATGTTTGCGAATCACCGCGTAGATGCTGTTTTCATCAGGAAAGTTAGGCGCTGCGTGTCGTCGATAACACACGTGTGAAGGATCATCGTCCGATAAAGTCTAAAACCGTGGCGCACAATAACCTTATCTGCGACGTCCTTAGCATGTCAGAACTTCATCCTATAATAGCATCGTAAACTTCGTTATTGTACACCGCCGCTAAGCAAAGTTTAATTTAAAATATACGGTGAAGGAAAATTTGCGAGGGGTCTTGACTTTGATGAAACGTCCGTAGGTTTATAGGGTGGCCAAAAATAAGGACTACGTATTTTTTTATATCTGTGGCAATTTAAGTTTAAAACAATGAAATTACCCTTCAAAGTTTCAGTCTGCATTATTGCAAAAGTGTAATGTTAGTATATACTCGACTGGTATACTCGATTGCGTGGCGTTAACAGGTCGCTCGCACTGAATAAATATAAATAGTGCCATCTTCTATGCTTATTCAGCGCGAGCAAGCTACCGATTCGAATAATGCTGCAATTCTTGGCTTTCGAGCGACAACTTCTCGCTCGAAATCATCTCGCGATTATACATTAATTCCCGTTTCAACGCGACAGCCGCTTTCAGTACTTTGACAGCCAAAATCTCAAAAGAGAACACAGGAACTTTTTCCTTAAATCGAGTGTAAAAATTGTCATAAACAGGATAACAAGTCCTGTTGGTGCGAGAGCTAATTATCCGGAAATCAAATCAGTTTTTTTCTAATCTTGAATACATTTCATCGATGACTGACGAAAATGAGAGGATACGATAAAAGGGGATTACACATTGTGCCCCTGTTACCGAGATGGAGCGCCTCTGAATATTTTATATCCGCGAGGCTACGTATCGATTGGTTTTCGCGCTATTCTGCGGTCATTCAATTAAAAACTCGGTCAAGCTCGTATTAACGAATCCCGCGTTATCAACGCCCGTGTGAAAGAATAAAGCGTTCGAAGACGCTTAAAGGAGAATCGCGGAGGCTACAGAGGCTCGACGAAATTAACTCGAGATTCTTAGAACGAATAGTCGATGCTCTATTCATCGGTTTCCAATATTTGCCCTCCCGTCGCCGGAGGCGTTTGGAAGATAACTCCTCGAAAAAAAAGAAATTGTATTCCATTCAGTTTTGGTCGAGTCAAGGAACGATGCAATTGCTGCTTCGTTGCTACGTCTGCCGAGACGATAAAAATGTCTTTGTGGATATGATCGCTGTTATAAAGAACGTCGATTTTGTTTTACGACGCGCTTCTCGCGTCGTAACTCGGTGTCGTAAACAGTTTGCCTCGGAGAAATACGCGAGAGATTGTTTTCTGTATCAATCTTGTTCGCGGCGTCGAACGATAGCAGACACAACTGGGGGAGAATAATGACGAATGAGACAAATTGTCATTTTTATTTTTCCCCGGCACGTTCGCGAGATTATAATACGATGAGTCGATTCTATATTTGCAAATAAACCTCAGAATTGGGCCACGAGACGTAAACGGTCGAGGAGCACTGGCGTAAAGCAATAGCGAGCGCGATCTATAAGCATTGCTATTTCGTCTTATTGCCTTCGAGCACGGAACACGAAGCCCGCGAAGTATCGCATAACTGTTCAACTCTAGACAAGAGAAGATTTGCCGCGTACGGCTTCGGAAAACGATGAAACGCCAATAATCATCACGCGTTCTTGATTTGCCGCTGCAACGCTCCAAACAATGGTAAATAAAAGAACGATAAGGGAGTCCAGTTTGTTTGCCAATGTATCGTTTGATGCAGATGGCCCTTTTCGAGTGAAACAATAGGAGAGTAATTAATGCATTTTTACTAGTTGACTAAGTAGTATTACAATCAACGTTTACTTCGACGCAAGTAGAAATGACTAGTAATAGACAGACGCGTGTTCGATGGCAGGCAAAAGTTCTTTGGGAAACAGAGCCTCGAATAAAACTTTATTTTTCCATATAGAATTACCCTTTTCCTAATTCTACCATCAGTAATAAGTATTTGACAAGTCTGGTAAATTTATGGGCTTACGTTTCACGCAATAGACGCGTTCCCGCCGTAGAACTCGAAGAACTTTCGCCAACATCTAACGTATACAGATACTTTGTTAAGCAGTAACAAATCTTCTTACCGCAGTGATAATTTAACGTCTCGTAAATGTCCTCCAGTAAGTTATAGTTCTCCTCGGCATCGACGTTGTACAGGAGTTTCTCGCTGAAACATCGAGCAAAACAGTTCACGGTTAGCGGCGGAAGTTTCATCGTGGTTTCCACTGGGCATTTATAAGGGATTGCACCTATATAGAGCTCGATGAAGAAAGCAATATCGGTGACTTCTTGTAGAAGTACATGTAATTATTAGTTAACGCATTAATAATAGACTAGTTAATAATACAATGCCTAGTCCCTGGAAATTCAATCGATTTTAATATACTTAAATTATAACAGAACTCATTTTACATTTTGCGGTTCTTCTTTTGCGTAATTCGCGAAACATTAAACGTTTTCTCTGCTCGTACTAATGGAATTCCACTTGCAAGTGCTTTTAGGGCATCTTTCATGTTTTCTATCAAATAATCCTTTCTATATATGTACTCCGATTTTTCTGTTACATATTTTAAGAAAACCTTAGATGATTTGTAGCTTTTGAATCCATTAAAATAGAATGAAATGGAAAAATATTGAAATTTGGTAAATGAAATATCTTCTGGGTCATTTAATTTTTCATGCTGGTTACCCTCGAAGTGCTCTTTCAAGCGTATTAATACACTGGTTCCAGAATTTCCTCCACTGTTAGAAACAGTTCTAAAACTCTTCAACGGGAATACTGTTTACGACTTCCGGCGATTTTTCTTTCACTTCGTCTACAGTAACGAATCGCTTCCTTCTTAAAGTTTTCTACATCTGCGGAAATAAGAAAAAGTCGTAGAAGATTGGGCGAGAGTGGAAGATGTTTTTCGCCAAAAACCGTGGTGTAGACGATGCCATGTGGAGAAAAGAAGATTGGTAGCCACAGTACAAGTTTTCGGCGAGAAACAGCACGATGCATATTTTCCATTTTCCACGTTCGCCCGATCTCGTATCGTGCGACATTTTTTTTATTCCTACGGACGAAGAAAACCATAAAATGAAAGCGATTCGTCGTTGCTCGCGGTGGATGGTTACATTTACAAGACAGAAATACTTACAGAGACCTCGCGAATAAAAGCTGCTCCTCGCCTTTGACCAAAAGGGCCCCCAGAGCCACGGCAACCACCTCGTTCTGTAATAAAAACGAAAGCAGGGGATGTATACGTCTACGTAGAAGAAGGTACCTTTCGTAGATTAATTCTGACAGTGCGCGTACTGAATACACACGCACGTCGTGGCAGAGTGGTATTGGGGAATTACGGTGACTCCAAGTTATAAAGAACCGAGACGGTTGCGCTAGTTTTTGTGGAATGGAAGACAGTGGCATTTCGAATCGTACTCCCATTTTCAAATAACAAATTTGTTAAACTAGATTAAAAGAAATTATTCCTGAAGAGGTTAAACATTGATAACAAGAAAATACCAAAGTAATTAAGGATGCTCGGAAAACTGTTCCAGATATCAAGATTTAAGCTTCTCCGATATTTTCAATTACATAAGTTAATTCTTTGACAGTCGTATTAATTATCGTAGTCCTCGCTTATTAAATTCCGTTTCCAGCAATTGATATTCACCGAGAATAAATTGCTCCAACGGGCGACGGCGTAAAGCTTGCAAATGCTCTACGCGAAGCAGATTTTTCGAAATATATGCATAAACTGCGTCCGTCGCCGTAGAGCGCGAAGCGTGAAGCGTAAAGAATGTGCCTCCAAACTCTTCCACAGAACTTGTGCATAAACCGAACCTGTTTCCTGAAACTACAGTACAGGGAAAAGTTCTTTCGTCTTCTTTTCCATGAAAATGTTGCCCGTTGTTAGATAAGTCACGAACAAATCGAATGAGCTCGGCTCGACAACGGGCGTATATATCAGCTCTGACGTAACAGTATTTCACAAACAAGTGTAAGAATACTTCAGGTTGGACCCTCGTGCGAACTTTCGGTTCGGTTTGTTCCATTTTATAAATCCGGGGAAAGTAATACTTCTTTCTTGGAATCGATGAGGAGAGGATTTGTTGATCGTCCTGTGGCCTCATTGATTCTCGCAAAGTTTTACATGGCAGAGGTGCCGAGGTGACAATTACCCACGGTCCAAGGTGCAAGTCTAGCAACTTTGAGGATTCTGCAGAGTCTATTCTCTAGTCAATTTGGGTAGCCATTATTCCTTTGCCTTTTAAAGCAATCGCAACTTTTTCCACGAAGAATCGTTCCCTTTCGAGTTGTACTATGATTACTGGGGAGGCCTTGTACGGTTGAAAGATTGTTACTGCTATGGTACTGTCGGAACCATCCGTTTGTCGGTACTTGTCATAAACTTGACAAACTCTCCGAGGGTTTAACAATCGGTTCGTACCCAATCCAGCTTTTAATCGTAAATTATAACCGCGCGTTTCGTAGTGGAGAATTTATCGTTCCACTTGGTACACAGCTACGGGCAACTATTCTCGAGGGAATTCCTATCCGAAGCGGTTATGTGGGACATTACTTTGCCTACGCAACCTTCGGTGCTCGCCGGGGTTAAATGTGGAATCATTTTCTGACCAGTTCCTCGCGTCGAGCCAGATTGAATTACGATCTGCATTATCCGTCCTCGAGGAGGAATTTTGCTCCTAATTTCGTTCTCTCACCGCCTTCGTTAGCCATCGAGTCGTAAACTATGTTCTCGTTAGAATAAACCGGAATGTGTCCTAATCAACTATATCATTCTCGCTATTATTTACGATCTCTTCGTCGTGTCGTCTTTTCGCGAAAAAGAATGTCAGGTATCTGTCCCGAAGCATTTCCTTTCTCGGTTGGAAACACCTTTTGTCTCTATAGCACCTGTCATATGACCTTTTAATATTTAAGTTCAATAAAAGAACCTCTCAAAGTTCAAGCAGTTATTTTTGGAACACGCTCTGGACACGAAAAACTCACCGGTTAAAGGGGTAGTCTGGTATATTGGCTCGAAAGTTGAAGTTGTCGAATCTACGTTAAAGATGTACGAACCAATATGAATTATTCCAGATTAAGAACGCGTATATTTCGGAATGAATTGTCCTATTGTCGCATTGAGACTGTTAATTCGAGAGAATCTTCCAAGATAAGTATAATGTCCCGAATCGTTTGAGTAAGTCGCCCGTAAATGGATCTAATTACATTCTCCATTCTTGCGTCTAAAGTGGTATTACTTTCGAAATTTCGAAGAGCTTAAGCCCTGCAATATTCATGAACGTTCGTTCTGCTCGTTTAAATATTTTCCAGAATTCTAGTTTCCCGAAATTTCCAATAGAATTTATACGATACATTCCCGAGACGACGTGCTTTAGGAAAATGCGAAAAATATCGATCTTTCGAACGAAGTTTCCAGACTGCCCCTTAAGTGTCGACGACGAAGCAGGGAAATAAGTTCCGTAGAGGGTGCACTTTGGAACCGGTCGTAAGCGAACAAGCAAGGAAACAGTCCTCGAATTTCGCAGAATCGTAAACGCGAGGGATTGCATTCGCAAGCTACTCGAGGAAGGGAAGAATGAATCGCGACGAAGAAAAGGCGGTAAAGTGAAAATACGCGATCGTGCAGACGCCCTGACATTCTGCGAGGGTGGATCGATCGCCCTCCCTTTGTGCCTCGTTCGCAGCAATTGAATAGAAAAGTACGAGCACCTCCTGCACGGTACGAAAGTCGAGGCTACGGAAGAAATATTCACGATAGTTATCGATAATATAATCTTCATTGTCGCTGGGAACCCGTAACTTTTGTTTGACTTTTGAGCAGCTGCCTCCATCCCCGACTCGAGTGGAACGCTAACGGGGGAGTATTTACTCTAGCATCGGACTGATTAAATTTCTTTACAAACGAGCTAGTTTGAAAAGCAGGGCAAACGTCCGAAGAATATGGCAAGTGGGTGAAAATTTTATTTCCATCTACTTTGGTTTCGGTTTGCCCGGCAATCGAATTTTAAGAGGAAATTTTCGCTCGGGAACGAGGACCTCTTCGCGAAACAAAATTTGTTGCCGCGCAAACTGAGCGCGCCAAAGTACTCGAAGTCTCCTCAGACTACATATTAGTACCTACGAAAGATCGTAAACCGGAATGCCTGTAAAATCAGATGCCACGCGTATTTAGATTAGACCGTATCGCTTCAGGAGTCTGTTTAGTTTCGTAGATAAAAAGGATTTGATTTTCTTCGTTTTACGGTTTCTTAAAGTATCGAGTCTGTGGGACGTTATGGTGGAACTCGAAATATCAGCAGCGTTAGAGGGCTTGAACAGGGCTGTCATGTGCCCTACTTTCGGCAGGACTGTTCTACGATCACACGTTTGGTGCTTGTGTCCTACTTTTTTAACACTATGCCCTTATATCTCCGAAACGAAGCCTTAGACTGCTAAATTGTAGGAATTATTTCTTGTTTAGCTAAGAAGTTACGATAGGGGAAATATAGTTTGTTATCAGACATAAAAAATTTCTACTAACCACCTAATTTATCGCGTAGGTAGCGGTCTATTGTGACATGGATCGTCTAGCATCGGATCGAGATTGGGTTTTATAATAGAATTCGTGTCATCAAAGACTCGGATGAGCGAAAATGGTAAACGATCGCGCGTCGACAAAGGATAACTCGCCATTGTGGGAAGAAACACCTTTTTCCGCGTTGTGAATTTTATACACCTGGAGCGACGACCTGTTCGCTTGTCCATCAGCCGCGATATATGGAACGGTTATCAAATTTATTATATTCTATGCTCGCCGTCATCTTTTACAATATCGCGGGAACGTGACAGTTTTTCTATGCTGTCCATGACGGCGACGGTTTCGTATGATTGATGGGGGCCATTTGTATCGCCGCGCCTTGTTCGTTTCTGCGTCCAGCGTTTCGCGAACCGATCGAAGTTTTCACGGGTTTCTACTGTAACGAGCCGCGTTATTAATTGCTCGATATCAAACGTCGTATAATTAATCGAACGGCTACTTGGTCCTGAGTCTCAATCGATATGGATTTAGAGACCGAGAGTTTAATCGGAGACATCGAGTCGAGTGGCATTAGATCTCTTAATAACTTGGAGGTATTACGATAACTTCCCACACAAATATTTATTCAATTTTAATGTTCTATAATATGTAAATCTTTTCGCAAATTTTTGTTAGCCGCTCACCCCTTTCAGTTCTTCTAGATCTGTAATTTTCATTTGTTTTCGACAAAATAAAAGGCACGACCAGTTTCAATTAACTTACTTTGCATGGGGCGACGGCATTATCTACGAGTTAGGAATACCAATGCGAGTGGAACTACTCAAAAATTGCTCTCGGTCCATGGAAACGTAGGATTAGTTGGGTATGCCACGTTAAATCGAATTTGGCAGCCGCAAGGATTGTTCGAGAGCACAGTGTCTGGATAGTCGTGTTCCAATTGTAGCCAAAATCGATAGAGGTTCCTTTAGGATGATAGCGGAAGGTCGGTCAAACTATTTGCGAAAAGTATCCCACTTCGTGAAACTATGTTTGTACCATTTGCTCCTCATAACAAGTCGAAGTTTGATAACATATCGGGGGAATTTTTTGTAAAGATGGGATCATTGGAATTTTATACACAAGCATCGGTAATTGCGAGAGTCAAGGATATTTTAAAGTCAACTTCTTCGTTTCTTTAAAGAAGGCGATAAAATTTTATCTCGGAAGAGCTTACATCTTACACCTTGTCGATAAGTCGAAGGTCGGAACTTCTACTATCTATGCGAAGAATAACGGTACTAGATATGCTTTCAGAATCTCATCTCTGCAGGCTCGTTCATGATCGTGGACGACCGTGCCTCATAGACCATTGATCTCGTCTTAAAAGTGCTTATCACTCTACGTTCTACTTGCAACACTTTTTAAAGGCGCAAGACGTTTATGTTATCTTTTGAAAATTTATCTTTAATTTTTTATCAGGATGTCGAAAAGTCCTAATATTCATTTTTCGTTGGTGCATATACCTTAAAGTCGGAATAAAATAGCTAACGTTGAAATTGCTACCAACTACCCGAGTTACATTTCATCAAAATGTTCCGGCTGTCGAGTTGTTGAGTTCAGTCTATTCTAGTTTGAAGGCTACAGTGTACAAATCTCTGTACTCGGCCATGCAATTACTGCATAAGTAGCTTCATTGTTTGCTCGG